CTTATACCATGTTGAAATGAATGAACAGGAATGGATGAACTAACAGTGAAAACAGTACAAGTACCTAACCCTGAATTGTGTACCCCCTATAGGCTAACCCACTGTAGCCTAAACAAGCAGAACATATATAATGTTTGACAAGGCTGAGATCTACGCAGGAGCCATGGCTGCACAGGAGCTTCGCTGGCTCACCTACCTGCTGACTAACCTCGGAGAGCCGCCTCGTTCTCCTCTAGTGCTGTATGTAGACAACAAGGCCATGCTGGCCTTGTGTCGGGAGCACAGACTGGAGCACAGAACGAAGCACATTGCTCTTCGCTACTTCCTTGCTCGTGAGCTACCGCAGCGTGGTCAGCTGCGCCTTGCGTATGTGGCCTCTAAGGCCAACACTACTGATATCTTCACCAAGGCACTTGCGCCTTGTGATCATCAGCGCTTCTGTACTCAGCTGGGTCTTGTGCCTACCTTGCCTCACTTGCTCACCCCTTGACCTTGTTTGTACTGTTGCATATATATATACACCTACTCTTGCTTGTCTAGCCTTATATATATATGTAATCCTGCATGTGAACTGGCCTTGTGGCCTTGAACTTGTGCTCGGAATGTGTGGTGACTTTGTGATCCACCCTGAGCTTGCTTTGCTTTGCTTGACTGGTCTTGTGACCCCTTGTTCTCCCCCACTTTGCCTATGGGGGTGTGTCAGATTTATATGACATAGCTGTTGTAGGCTATAGTGGGGTAGCACATGTCAGTAGATCTGCACTGTGGATGCCCGATTGATCCTACGGGGGGTTACAGGCGCGTTCGCCTGGGGGGTTATGGGCGCACTCTGACCCGCTACTTAACAAGCCCTTTTATCCCAATGGTCTAGTGGTTGGTGGGATTCTGACAGCACATATTGGGTACGACTTTCTAGGGTTTGTACTTGTACCCAACTTTCCCTTAGTCAATTCATTCTCGTTCATTTTCTCATCAAGCAACAGAGAATGTTAATCAAAGTCGTCTCATGGCACAGCTGACAACAGCTGAAATGAAACCCGGCGAAAAGGGGATGGCGTATATCGGCCGCTATCGTGGACTGCGCGACAGACTCCTTCGATGCGGAGGATCGATATCCGAAGAAGCCTTGGTGACAGTTGTCATTACTGGCCTCGGTCCTCATTGGCGCTCCACTCGAGCTATCCTCCAAGCTCACGGGAAGATCTCCGAAGCAGCACTCTGCGCCGGAATTCACGCTGAACAGCAGTACATGGACCTACACGAAGAACGACACAAGAAGAGAGCGTCAGCACCAGAGTTCGCGTTCCACACTCAACGGCAATACAACAACACCAATCAACAGAACAAACATCAAGCTCAACAATACGTACCACCATTCTGCCATCTCTGCAAGATGTCAGGACACCCTCGCACACACTGCCCGAATCAACAGCAGTCAACGCTGCTGCAACGTCAACTTCGGCCCTCAAGCAGTCAAGTTGCTTCTACACAAGCGCATCCCACCAATCAAGTACAGTCCTCAACGACATCAACGACAAAACCTGCACAAGGCGCAAAAAACCTCCTAAGCTGCATGGCAAGAACAACAGACTCCTGCATCACCGGATCGCCACCATACTACTCACCAGAAGAACAACTCGACGAAAGCACCCCTCGCCATGAATCATTGGAGCCGAATCTGACGTACGCAGCCATCGCCTAGAGTGAGCCGTCCGGGAAAGACACCTGGTTCTTGGATAGCTGCTGCGGACAGCACATGTGCTCATCAGGTCGCTTCGTTCAACGGGAACACCAACTTCAGCGCGAAGTCGTAATCACCGTCGCCAACAACCAGAACCTGCGCACACGACGACAGGGGATAGTTCAACTTCAGTCTCGAGAAACCAACGTAATTCTGCAGATGTTTAAGGTTCTTATCGCAGAAGGACTCGGCTATAACTTACTCAGCGTCAATCAACTAATGGCGAAGGGAATTCATCTCGAAGCAGACAGCACCACCCAGGAGTTCAAGCTGTACCACGGGAAACGTGGGCTCTACATCGGCAAGGCAGTCTAATAGAACAATGTCTTCGTTCTTGACTTCGTTCCAGACCAAGGCACCGCCGACAGTGACTGCCATCGTCAATTTCACCTCTTGAACACACCCGCTAGATCTCGACCCCGGCTTCAGTCCTGGAGGCTTCTGGTACTCGCACTCTATACATGAAGCTGAACGAACGAGAGCGTTAGTGACAATTCAACAAACATCGGCAGCAGCAGAGAAAACATCAGCAGAAGCAGAGACAACACCGGCAGCAGCAGAGACAACACTCGCAGCAGCAGAGACAACGCCGGCAGCACCGAGGCAACACCGACTATGACACCAATCGCGGGTCCTTCAACGGCACCAGTTTTCGTCGACGATACTCCACCGACTCCTGCGCAGCAGTTGACTCCAACTCCACGCGAAGTTCACAGAAGCGCCAACCTCACCGCGGGATTTAGCTCCAACTCCAATATGTACGTGCGTTCACCGAAACCTTCGCGCCAGTTAGCCGACACACCTCACTACGGATTCTTCTCGCGATAGCCGCCATGAAGCGGAAGAAGCTCCGCCAAATCGACGTCGCCAACGCCTTTCTGTACGCTCCCGTCGATGCTGAGATTTTCGTCGAACAACCACACGGCTCTAACACAGACCCCAATCAAGTCTGTCAGCTATTGAAATCATTGTACGGCATCAAGCAAGCTCCGAGGCTGTGGCAGCAGTATCTTCATGCCCGACTAATTCGCATCGGATCCCGCCAACTACCGCATGACCAAGGAATGTACCGACTCACTAAGGGGACCGACTACATCCTGCTTATCGTTTACGTAGACGACCTACTCTACATCGGCTCAACTGACGACATCATGACTTGGTTCGAAGGGGAGCTGCAGTGGAACCCCACGCTTACCGTCTCGTCTACCGTAACTCAGTACCTGGGACTCAACATACAAGAAGGGGAGAACACGTCTATCTGAGCGCTGCAAAATACGCCGACACCATCGCCAAACGCTTCGGACTAACCCCAGCTACCATCACTACACCATATCGTTACACCGACGGAAATCGCAAGGAAGCCTCCGCTCTACTCAAATCCGCCGGCATTCGCGACTACCAACGAAAGCTAGGCTGTCTACTCTTCGCAGGCGTTACCTGCCGACCGGACCTATCTTACTCAGCTAGCCAACTCGCCACCTACCTTAAGAAGCCTGAAGCAAATCACATGGCGGAGCTCGACCATGCACTTCACTACCTCGTCAGCACCCCGACGATCGGTCTAACCTACCACAAGACCGGAACTACGACACACAAGCTAATCGGTTATGTGGATGCTAATCACGCCGGCGACTCCGACAACAGGCGATCGCGCACCAACTACCTCTACCGACTCGAACCTATCGGCCCCATCTCGTGGCAGTCGAGCAAGCAAGAACTAATTGCTCTTTCCTCAGCTGAAGAAGAATATATCGCACTCTGCTCAGGCACCAAGGAAGGATTGTACCTTCGCGAACTACTGGAAGAAGCAAAGCTGGCTCAGTTACCCAGCTTCTCCATGTTCTGCGACAACCAATCGGCCATTCGCATAGCGAACAAGAACGGGTTCGCGAATCGAACGAAACACATCGTCCTCCGGTACTTCTTCGTAAAAGGCAGAATCGAGAAGGGGAGACGCAAGCTATCCTACTGTCCCACATCCGAGATGGCAGCCGATTACTTGACCAAGAAACTCGGATAGCAGAAGTTCGAGTATTGCATGGTGCTGACTGGACAAGGCCACGTCATCAGCATCGACACTCCAGAAGCGAAGGGGAGTGTTGGAAACAAGTAATTTAACGCTTCTGTTGTGTCGAAACAATAGACTGCAAATGAGGCGAATCACAGTGGAGCAACGGCGAGTCAACCGAGGAGGTTGGCAGAAAGTAACAGCTGGAGGTTACACGAAGGTCAAAGGTCAGCGACCTTTGACTCGACAAAGTACAGCGCGACAGCAAGGACAAACAACTGACTCGGTATTGAGCAGTTGCTCGAGTCATTACTGTATCGAACCGCAACAGCAAAACAGTTAGATGCACCTTTTCATATTCCTTGTAATCATATAAATAAACCTTTGTATTGCCCTGGTATAATCAATCTCTTGCTCTCACACACTAGTGCAAGTTGGTTCAACAAGTTCACTAATAAGAACGCTTTCGCAACTAAAACATTCCTACTCAGGGTCTTAACCTTGAAAGATCCTAAGGGCTTTTCTCTGCCCAACACCAACCGAGGTCTCCTCGCCTCCAACTATTCGTGCACACATTACAATACAAGGCCACTGTGATGAGAAGTCTATCAGGTCTCATCAGCCTAGTAATTATTTCTTGCCTTTTCACACCATCGCTACATTGTTTGTTCCAAAGGGAGACGTGGAGCGAATAATTAGAAACAGAGAAACATACCGTAACATGCAAAGAAGAATTGAAGTCTATGGTACACGAGACGATAATCATTGCACAATACAGAAACTTTAAAATCCCCCCTCCCCCCCCCCCCCCCCCCCCTACACTTGGTCTTCCACACCGCCATCTAACTTTCATTCCTGCCTTCCGAGCAACCACACCACATGCAGCCACTTGCACCTCTTCTCTGCTGTTGAGTAACACGGCCTCTTGAGAGCACATATTGAAGCCTTGAATCGCCTTCACGCGGATCCAGCTCATTTGGCTGAGTGGGTGGATGGGTGGTGGGAAGCGAAGAGCAGTATGAGAGTCAATGGAATGCCGTCCAGGCATGACTACATGGAGATGGAAGACCGTAGAGAAACGAGGAAGCACAAGGGCGGTGCAGGAGTGGGTCAACGAGAATAGGATGCAAGGCGGTTGTGATGGTAGAGGTTGTGAGCGAGGGGGGAAGCGCATGCACGAGGTTAACTGGAGCTGGGCACGCATGGAAGAGAGAAATATCGCGAGAGCATACGCGTCTCCCTCGCTCTTACGAGTGCACTTGTTGTTGACCAGCTGGAACCCCGTGCTGCACTGACACGCCGGCTTGCCCTTAACCGCCATGCACTGGGCATTGGCAGAGCAGCCAGGCTTGCACACGGCTGTGAGGTGGGTGGGGTGGGTGAGAGAGAGGGGAAGAATGAAAGTAAAAGTGAGGAAGAGATGAAGGGAATCGAGCAGAGGCAGCATACACAGCATATGTTTGCAAGTGGGTGGTAAGGTTTTGGAAGAGAGGGAAGAGCATGGGGTTCACTGGAGCTTCACAGGCATGGAAGAGAAAATGAAGAGCAATCTCCCTCTCTTACGAGTGCACTTGTTGTTGACTGACTTGAACCCCGTGTTGCACTGACACGCCGGCTTCCCTTTCACCGCCATGCACTGGGCATTGGCAGAGCAGCCAGGCTTGCACACGGCTGTCAAATGGGTGCGTTGGGTGCGAGAGATGGGAAGGATGGTGGATGAGCGGGGAAGGGCCGAGGGATTACATTACAGCGCAGCAAACACAGATGACAAAAGCTTCATTCACGCGTGGTGTTCTGCAGGTGGAAATTATGGGAGTGACACAAACACGAGGATAGCACATTTGTCCTCGCCCTTACGAGTGCACTTGTTGTTGATGGACTTGAATCCCGTGCTGCACTGACACGCCGGCTTCCCTTTCACCGCCAGGCATTGGGCATTGGCACCGCAGGTAGGCTTGCACACAGCTGTCAGACGGGTGGGTCGGGTGGGAGAGATGGGAAGGTTGGAGGGTGAGAGGCAACGAGATGGAACACCGCATGGTGGCAAGCAAGCAGGCGGGGAATGAGAACGATTCATGGTGGCGAAAGACACCAGCTCTCCTCGCAATATGATGATGAGAGGGGAAAGACAATGAGCAGTGGAGCGGTTGGAGAACGGGGGCTTGAATCACTCGCTGCACGATACAACGGGGGCTCGCTCTCCCTCGCTGCACAATACAATGGGGGCTCGCTCTCCCTCGCCCTTCTGCCCTTACGTGTGCACGTGCTCTTGCCCTGCCGGAAGCCCGCCTTGCAGCGACACACGGGCTTCCCTCCCACCACCACGCACTGGCCATTGGCAGGGCAGTCCGGCTTGCAGATAGCTGGTGTGGTGCGAGGTGGTGCGTGGAGGAGAGGGGAAAGAGCATGAGGCTGAGTGGGGCAGCAGACGAGGAGGAAGGAGCGCCCGTGTGAGGGCCAAGAGGACGCCACACAATAGCACACACACACACACTCAAGCTGGGCTGACATGAAGCACTGTGATTTCATGTGCTGCCTCTAGGTGTGGGGCTGCCTCTAGGTGTGGGGCTGCCTCTGGAGCTCGTGCGGAGACAATCAGAAAAAATAACAGAACCCTTGTAGATCTCACCAGTGCAGAGGCCCTTGTTGGCCTTGGTGTAGCCAGCATCACACTCGCACACGGGCTGCCCGTTCCTCACCACGCACTGCGAGTTCCTCGCACACTTCACTGCCTCACACGGGTCCGCGCCTCCGCTAGGGTTTGGGTCTGCCGTGGGTGGGGGCGGGAAGGAGTGAGATGATGATTATTTGTGAGGAGGTTCGGCCTGGCTTCTCAATGGAGGAGGTTCGGCCTGGCTTCTCAATGGAGGAGGTTCGGCCTGGCTTCTCAATGGAGGAGGTTCGGCCTGGCTTCTCAATGGAGGAGGTTCGGCCTGGCTTCTCAATGGAGGAGGTTCGGCCTGGCTTCTCAATGGAGGAGGTTCGGCCTGGCTTCTCAATGGAGGAGGTTCGGCCTGGCTTCTCAATGGAGGAGGTTCGGCCTGGCTTCTCAATGGAGGAGGTTCGGCCTGGCTTCTCAATGGAGGAGGTTCGGCCTGGCTTCTCAATGGAGGAGGTTCGGCCTGGCTTCTCAATGGAGGAGGTTCGGCCTGGCTTCTCAATGGAGGAGGTTCGGCCTGGCTTCTCAATGGAGGAGGTTCGGCCTGGCTTCTCAATGGAGGAGGTTCGGCCTGGCTTCTCAATGGAGGAGGTTCGGCCTGGCTTCTCAATGGAGGAGGTTCGGCCTGGCTTCTCAATGGAGGAGGTTCGGCCTGGCTTCTCAATGGAGGAGGTTCGGCCTGGCTTCTCAATGGAGGAGGTTCGGCCTGGCTTCTCAATGGAGGAGGTTCGGCCTGGCTTCTCAATGGAGGAGGTTCGGCCTGGCTTCTCAATGGAGGAGGTTCGGCCTGGCTTCTCAATGGAGGAGGTTCGGCCTGGCTTCTCAATGGAGGAGGTTCGGCCTGGCTTCTCAATGGAGGAGGTTCGGCCTGGCTTCTCAATGGAGGAGGTTCGGCCTGGCTTCTCAATGGAGGAGGTTCGGCCTGGGGAGTTCATCTTTCTGCCTGCACACAAGGACGGCTGATGGGGCAGCTACTTGTCGTTGGGTACATGCAATAGCAGACAGAGCGACATACCAGGGGTGGGGCCGGGCGACTTGCTGGTGCAGCGCTTGTGCGCCTCGTCGAACACCTGGCTCCAGGGGCACTTGCACTCAGACACGCCGTCCCTCACCACGCACTGTGCAGTGCCGCAGTCCTTGTGACACGTGGCTGTTGTTGACAGCACCGCACCAGCCAGGCATGTAGGGGGAAGGGGTGAATGGGGTCAATAAGGCATGGCATGATACGGGGAGGCGGAGAATCAAGTGCAAAGAGCTGTGCGTGTCTCCAACTATTCGGAACCCGAGGTGAGGTGCCTGACCTCCTTCGCAATGTGCACTTCATGCGTTCAGAGTGAAGGTGCTGATACTCCAACAACTATGCGCATGCGGCCCGGACAAATTAAAAAGGTTTCTCGCGGCGTGAGGCATCTATGGAATGGGGAGGCAGCGAATCGAGTGCAGAGAGCAGTGCCTGTGTGTTCACCTTGCTTAACCAGAAGAGAGGTGAAGGTGCTTGAACCTCCTTGCCTATGTGCACTTGCTGCATTCACAGTGACGGTGAAGACACTCCAAGGGCTATGCGCATGTGCCCGGGACAAGTTTCTGCGCTCGCACTTACCGATCTCACAGCTGATTGACTGCGGTGGGGTTGCTTTCACAGTCCTGCGAGTGAGGCGCAAAGGGGAGGGCACACCACAGAGGACACCGTTGAACAAGACAACTTTACTGACTGGCATGCTTCCTTCGAAACACAAGCAGCACAGCAGACAAAACCACAGTGCCGTCGCTCACCTTTTTGTGACGGGGAAGGCACCGCCGACCATGGCAGGGCGCGCGATGGTCAATCCTGCCTTGTCCGCACAGCCGGGGTCGGAGTGAAACGAGAGGCTCTTGCACATGCCGGTGCCCACAGTGTCCACGCCAACCGACTTCCACTCCACGTTGATCCGCGTGCTGCTGCCCCCGCCCAGATCACCCACGTCGCTGCACGCCATGGCGCCAGTGGCGTGCGCCATGGGCACGGGGCTCTCGAAGGTGAGGAGCGCGAGGTAGGTGAGCCCCTCCACCTCCACCTGCGTCTGCAGCAGCCCATCTGCACCGTGGGCGCCGCACGTTGTTGTTGTGGTGATGCCCAGGATTCAGTGCCGTCGAGTTGTTGCAGCAGAGGGGGGAGAGAGCGGAATGCAAAGGCAAGAGGGTGTGGGGTGGGGTGTGGGGGAAATGAGGGGCGGAAGCGAACATGGATGAGGCGCGTGATGTTTCAGGGCCTCTCAGGGGGGCCTCTCAGGGGGGCCTCTCAGGGGGGCTTCTCAGGGGGGCTTCTCAGGGGTTACTGTTGTTGAAGCGTGAGACGTGGGAAGATGTGATTGCGTGGAGGCGGTTGAGTCTCACCAGTGCAGGTGTTGTTCTGCAGGATGTACCCCATCTCGCACTCGCACTCCGCCTTGCCCCTCCTCGCCACGCACTCCGCCCTCGCTGGACACTGCACCGCCACATCCGCGCACGGATCTGCCACGGGCATGAGGGGGGAAGGAGAGGGTGGAAGTAATAATGAGGGGGGAAGTCAAGGAGCAAAAGATACTGAATGGCAGGTGGCTGTAAACTCTGGGCAGGCGACGGGCAGCTCACTGAGACATTCAGCCATGCAGCCGATAGTGCATCAGTGCCACACTCCCACCACTCACCATTGCATGTCTTGTCTGTTACGTTGAAGACATAACCCCCGTCGCACAGGCACTCCGTGCTGCCATCATCGGCCGCAGAGCAGAAGGCGACTGACCCGCAATCCACGGTGGCACACGCGTCTGCAGGGTAGTCGAGGCGGTTTCGAGATGAAGCAGAGCAGGCGGGTTGGAAAGGTAAGAAATTGCACTCACCCACACCCCTGCGCTGCGCTCACGCGCACCCCAACACTCACGCACGTACTTTCCGACACCACCCACAAACAAGAGCAAGAGCATTGTAAGAACGAGTGCAACCAAAAAGAGTGGTCAAAATCAAGCGGATGAGCGAGCAAGAGTGAACGCGAGTCACTGGGAGTGGCGATAGTGGGAGCACGACGGCGCTCACCTGCGCTGGCGTGGGTCGCGAGGAGGCTGATCGCAGCGAGCCCGGCGACGAGTGCGACGACGCCAACGACAGACGGCCGTCCGCGGCGAGCCATGACGACAAGCAGGCCCACGGCGAACGGGCTTCAACCTCTTTCCAGCCGCGCGCCGAAGAGTCGAACCTTCGTGAATAAGTGTTGTAGTGCCGGCGGTGATACCTGGTGCTGGATTACGAGCGATTGAGAGGAATGAGCTAGGTGCGATCGACAGGAGGAGCGAGACGCGGTAAGGTGAGAGAGGCGGTGAAAGGGAAGGAGAAGAAGTGCAACTGTGAGTGCTAAGACGCACATAGGCGATTTATTTGCTGAGAGCGAGTAGCGAGAGCGAGTCGCGAAGGGCACAACACAACTCGTGGCGGGCTATCCGCAATAATGCATCAGGAATTTGTGGCGGAAGGGCGGGGGGCGGCGAGGTGGCGCAGCAGCGACCGTCGTCGGAGGCGAGGCCCATCGGCGTGCATTCGCTCGAGCCATGCCCGATGGGTGCGCAAATGCATTAGCGCGATGGGCGGAGGTCGATGGGCAGAGCGGGATGCGCGGAGGTCGATGGGTGGAACGCGATGAAGGAACGACATGGAATATTGCAACGGGAGAAACGGAGGGCTGCACAAGCGGATGAGAGGGGGTGACGATGAAGTTGAGGATGGAGCAGCGAAAACTTGAACATGAACGAATTTTGTTTTTGCGCCTAAGAAAGTAGGTCACGACACTTGCGACAGACGTAACCTGCTTTCTGACCGTCTTCGCTAGTTTCCACACGTCCTTGCTGCTCAGCTGAGAACGCGTTTCACCGCGGAAGGCGCTGGGGATGAGGTGGGGTGTAGGGTCGTTCATTTCGGAAATGTAATACATTATATTTGTTAGGCCCCTTGGCCTAAATCCGCTAAAGAATAGCGGGGCTGAATATATTGAAGAAAAAACGCG